GGGGGGGGTTGTGCGGGGAGAAGGGTGCAACAATGAATGAATGGAATTCCAAAATCTCTGTAGATGTTCATTGAAATGAAAAACTAAAAAAAAAAAAAGATGGAATTATGGCACTTGATTTTAAGTATTTTATGATTTTGTGGGATTAGTGTAGACTGGAGAAATGTAGTAAAATTCAACCTATTTTTCAGTTGTAGTTGTTGTTGTTGTTGAGTACCATCGAGTCAAATCTGACCCTCCAGCGGATTTTCAGAGGCAGTTAATCACATAGAAGAAAATTGCCAATTCTTCTCCTGGAGTAGCTAGTGGCCTTGAACCACATGCCTTCAGGATTGCAGTGCACTTTCTCACCACTAGGCCACCAGAGCTCCCCTAAGTTTTCAGTGAGTCTTTGCCAAAATGAGAAAAAGGAACTTAGATTTTGCTTACGTTCGTTTCTACATTTATGCTCATTTTGTTGTGAGATTATTATCATAAATTGTTTAAATTTTGTCAGGAGATGGTACGTGAAGCTTCTCCTTACCTGTTTCGTGCCACCAAACAAAGGGTATATTTCAGGAGTGTAAGCATTCTAATTCCAGTGACCTGGAAATCAAAACCTGAGTATATGATGGCAAAGCAGGAATCATATGAGCAGGTAGGCTATTCTACTTATAATTTTTTTTAATTATAGGTTATACATTTAGAAGTTTAATTAGTAAAATAAATGTTCTTGGTAAAAATGAAAAAAACCTTATTTCTAAACCCTGTTGTTTCTATTGCATTTGAAATGGATTTCTGCTTGCTTGCTCTTCTACTGTTTTAGGCAGATGTCATAGTTGCTGCCCCTGATCTGAACTATGGAGATGATCCGTACACACTTCAGTATGGACAATGTGGACAAAAAGGGAAATATATACATTTTACTCCAAACTTCTTGTTGTCTGATAATTTGCTTTTATATGGGCCTCGAGGTAGGTATATCTATTTTACATTTTTGGGTGTTTGTTCTTCTTTTTTGGGAAAAAAATAAAAACTATACCTTTAAAACTTTTTAACAAAAGAAAAATAGGTATTTAAGTAATACTTTTGTTTAGAAATACTTATGTATAAATTATATATTTTTATGGGGTGGCATATAATAATAAAATTCATTGTTTATTATCTCCTGCTCATTGAAACATTTTTAATTGAAATTATGTATGATTTCATTAGTTCTGATATGGATTTGTTGTTGTTGCTGTTAGATGCCAACTTATTTCCAGTTCTTAGTGATTCATTGTACAACAGAATGAAACATTTCCTGGTTCTATTCTTACAAACATAGTAACATTCACTGTACAAATTCTTCTTGCTAAATATCTTCATCTTTTTCACTGCCCCTCTATTTTACTACTTAACAACAATACAAAATAGAGAGAGCTCTGTGGGCCTGATGGATATAAAATCGTGCTACCAAGTAAAAAATGGGTGATTTTAATCTGTGGCCCTCAGGCCTGGTTTTAATTGGTTTTGGTCAAACACTCTTCTAAGTAGTATAGCACTGGTCTGTCCATTTGCTGCACAGAGGTAACGCATGGTTTCTGTGAAGCTGAACACTGTGACACTGATATGTCAAATACGATATTGATCACTTATGGTGGACAGTGTTTGTTGGAGTTCCCAGATTGAAACAAGCTTGGAAGCAGAGGTGGCATCCGCTTCTGAAATAGCTTGCCTCTGGGAACTCTACGAACTTGGAAAAATGATGAAAATCATACAGGTGTTCAGTTCTTTCGTTCATAGGTTCACTATGAGTCGTCTACAACTCGATGGCACTTAACAACAGAAACAACAACTACTTTACCAAGCGTAATTGTCTTCTCTAGGAACTAGTCTCTTCGATAACGCTTCCAAAATACTTGAGACCAACCTGAATGTTCTCACTTATAAGGAGATTTTTTACTTCTTTTACCAAGATAGACTTGTTCATGCTTCTTTTGTGTTGTTGTTGTTGTTGTTATTGTTGTTTTTAGATTTTTTTTTAGTTGAGAATTTTTAATGAAAGTGTATCGAGAACTTGGATTTCCATTCACTCATTCATTGTTGAACGTTTTTCTCCCTGCCCACTCCCAGTTTGCGTTTCTCTTTGAAAAGAAAAGTCTTTCATTGTTGTACAATTCTGCACCCCACCCCACCCCATCATTGAAACTTTTGACCTACTACAATGGTCTAAATTTCCAGAATTCCTTGACTTAATTAGGCTGGGAAGGAAAGAGATGGGGAGACATTAGATATAAGAAAAGTAAAACACATCTTTTATATGCATGTGGAAACTGTATTAAAATATAGTAGCTCTAAATTTATAGCTGGCAACATTCTCTCATAGGCAGAGCATTTGTCCATGAATGGGCCCATCTCCGTTGGGGCGTATTTGATGAGTATAACAATGACCAGCCATTCTATATGTCCAGAAAGAAGACTATTGAAGCAACAAGGTATTTTACTGAACAAATCTGTTTTTAAAACTTTCAGTTAAGACTTTTAAATTTTCTATGCCAGGTGGATAAAATTAATCTCAGGAGATGAATGTTGGTATCGTTTCTTAAAATATCCAACCTTCCCCAATATGCACGTCTCCCATTGCTGTTGTTGCAAGCTGTGAAATCAGAATCCACTCATAGCTGACACTCCAGATGGTTTTCAGAGACTGTAAATCACACAGGAGGAGATTCCCCATCACTCTCCCATTAAAGCAACTGATAGATTCGAATTGCCTACCATTGAGCTAGTAATGCAACTCTTTACCACTAAGCGACCAAGTTACCATGTGTCTTAGTATCTCTGGGGATTCCTTGTTGGAGTCAAAATAAACCAGGAATTGGAAATCCTTTCAGGATTCACAGAAATTATATTAAAAATGTCACTGGCAGAAGTTAAAGGAACAATAATATTGGAAAACTTAAGATAGCTGCAAGTTAATTGCCTAAACCCTAACGTATCTGAGATTTAGGGTTGCAGTTTCTTTCTACTTTTTAATTTCTTGATCTATAACTTCTCATTGAAAATCTATTTCATTAAAATCAATTAAACTCCAAGAGCTTCAAAGTAAATATATTTATTTTTTTGTTTAGTCTCAATTTAAAATAAGAGAAAGGACTCATAAGAGTAAGTGGACACATCAGTTTTTAAGAAGCATGATTCCAAGTGATTTTAAACCTATCCACTGATACTGAGTTAATTTTATCTATTTTATCTTGTAGAGTCTCTGAGTTAGAGTCCACTTGACAATGGCGGGTTCGGTTTTCCTATGATCACTATATAGTCTTGTTATTGTGTACTGTAGAGTTGGAAGTGACTCATAGCTGAACCTTCAGGGGGTTTTCAGAGCCTGTAAATTGTTATCCTTCTCCCCTAGAGTAGCTGGTGGACTCTAATGGCCTGCCTTTGGGTTGGCAGTGCAATTCCTTTCCGGTAAACCACCAAAACACGTTTCTAGTTCTTCCATAGTAGGGAACTCTGTTGGACTGATGGCAAGAAACTGTGCTGCAATCTCAAAGGTACTCAGTTTGAGGCCACCAGCTGCTCCTTGGGAGAAATATAGACAGTCTCCTCCCATGTGATTAACTGCCTCCGAAAGCCCGCTGGAGGGTCAGCTACGGGTCAGTTCCAACTCTACGGTACATGACAACAACATGAATAGAGTGATCATGTGATCATAGTAACCAGTGAACAACAGATCTAAATCCAGTCCTGTTCTGTGCCATCCTCACAATCTCTAACACACTCAAGCCCTTTGCTACAACCACTGTGTCAATCCATCTGGTTTGACAGAGGGGTCACTCATGATGGACAGGTTTGAGTAGAACTTTCAGTTTAAGACAAACTAGGAAGAAAGATTGGCCATCCACTTCTAAAATAGCAGGCCTCTGAAAATTGTATGAACAACAGAGAAACATGGATACATATAGTAGGCAAATAGAAAAAAAATAAAGAACCAAATAACATTCCACTACTTGGAATATACCTTGAGAATATGAGAACTGAAGCACAGAGATTTGTACACCAATGTTCATAGCAGCGTTATACACTATCACAAGAACATGGAAACAACCCAAATGTCCAAACACAAATGAATGGATTGAGAAATTATGGTACATTCACACAATGGAATACTATGCAGCACGCAGGAGCAATGATTTTGTAATTATCTAACTTGGGAGGTACTGGAGAGCATTATACTGAGTGAACTAATTCAGTACCACAAGGATAAATACTGTATAAAACCATTATTGTAGAATGAGTATAAGGATCCAGAGGGGTGGGAGAGGTTGGAAGCAGAGGGATGAGGATGTGCAGGGAGAGTGGAAGATTAATCATGGGGTTGTACAGTTTGATGAGGGAGAGGTGAGAGAAATTGAAAGAATTTGTTCTTGAAAACAATGTATTCAAATTTTATAAAAAAACTAGTAAAAAAAATAAACTAATGAGAAATAAATGTTCATTTATAAGGTTTAAACTCATTGCCAGTGAGCCAATTTTACTTCTAATGACTATAGAACCAAGTAAAGTTGTACCATACCAGGTATCCAAGGTCATACACAGACTGTCACATCTTTCTCCTGTAGAATGACTAATAGTTAAAAGCCATCAAGATAGAGCACTTAACCACTGCATCACAAGAGTTCTTTCATAAGATACATCAGTCATTAAAAAGAGACATAATAGTAAAAACCAGGACACTCTGGTGACCTAATTCAAAGGATGTTTCACTACGATCTCAAAGGTGGCACCTCTCTGGCTGTTTAAATGCACCAGAAACTCTGCAGAAGAAACATGGGCAAACTCCTCCCATGCAATTTATAACCTCGGAAACTCAATGATGTGTGTCAGTTATGAGTGGGTTCTGACTCAACAGTAATGAGTTAAGTTACTGAGCACAAAATAATATTGAACTCTTATTATGTGCCAGGTACTTTGAAACAATAAAATCTTGTTATAGCTAAGTTTAATTTCAGGCTTACGTTAGAATATCTCTTCTTAGAAGTTTATGCCTTACTTTCTCCCTTGCTATGATTAATATTGATATAAGAGTAAATTCTGCAGATAAACAGATTTTGTTTACAAACTTTCATTCTCTCTCACACACAAAAGATTACCGTATAGATCAAATAGCAGGAATCATAACTATGTGGGGATTATCTTTTTTCCCTTTCTTTAAGATATCTCAGTGGTTCTCAAAATGTACATTGCAACATATTGTAAACACTTTGAATAATCATGTGCATTACCTTGCATGAAAATTTAAAGCATTATATTGACTCTCCTCAATAAGAAGAAATTCTTCAATGTCTTAATTCATTTTTAAAATCTTTAAGACATCCCTGTGAGTTAGGAAATTCTCTAATCCTGAGCTCCAGGTCAAAGATAATAGATTTATCTAACACATTAGTGAGCAATGAATGTTTAACAAGTATAAACTGACATCACTGTTCTTGTTATGCCCATAGCAAATAGGTAATGGAAATTTTGCCTAGACCCATTAAGCTGAAATAAATTCAACCATGATTTTAAAAAATTGTCCCTGAAGGAGAGTTTTGAGGGCTATTCAAGATATGCATAACCTTCATAAAATATATAATCTGATTTTTTTTTCATCACAGATGTCCGACTGATATTAATGGCACTTATATTGTCAATGAATGTTCAAGTGGGAACTGCAAAACAAGAACATGTAGACATGACCCGAAGACAGGCCTGTATGAAGAAAACTGTATGTTCTTTCCACAAGAAAACAAAACTGCAAAGGAATCCATAATGTTTATGCAAAATATTAATTCTGTAAGTATCTTCTTCCATTTAACATACACCTCACTAAAGTCAATCAAGAAAGCTAGATTTTCTGTTGTGAAAGTCTCTATACCAATTGAAAGAAGATAAATTACTCACAAAATTAGTTAGAGGTTCTTTTCTCCAGCCCAAGTTCAGGATGTATGTGGAGATAACTATACCTTTTTAAATTTTTTTTATATGGGTTTATTTGTAAAGTTAATATACAATGTTTTTCACATGGGATCATTCCCATTTCCTTCATTCCCCTGCCCTCCACCCCTCAAATTATAGACCATATGATTAACACACCCCTCCCCTTCACTCATCCTTATTCCTCTGCTCCCACCCTCCCCCACCGTGGATCCGCATAATCTTTCTACAGTAACAGTCTTATACAGTATTTGTCCTTATGGGACACTTAGCATAATGTTCTCCAGTTCCTCCCAAAGTAGCTAGTAATTAACAAAATCATTGCTCCTATGTGTTGTGTAGTATTCCATCATTCACCATAATTTCTCAATCCATTTGATTGTGGTTGGACATTTAGGCTGTTTCCTTATTTCCTTATTCTTGCTATAGTAACTATATCTTTTTTTATTACCCTGTCCCTTCCCTTAAGTTGTGGAACTGTATCCTTTTCAACAAAGTCTCTTAGGTTTCTCATAACATTACTTTCATCAATTGACTCCTGTGGACTAGATTGTTTGAAACATAATGTGAATGAATGAAACAATGATATACATTGTGATTTATAAAATTAATAACTAATGACCTATGCCTATTATTACCACATCTTTCTAGGTCCCCATTACACCTTTCCTAATTCCTTCACACATAACCTCAACTTGCCAAACTCAGATATCCTAATGATTTCTCCTCGTCCCCATTCTCCATCTCTCTTCTCCCCTCCCCTTTCACTTTTGGACTTTTATACATATCTTTCTAGTTATGCTTCAATTTTTGCATTAATGGTCGTGTGCAGTATTTGTCCCTACGAGATTTAGTTCACACCTCATAATCCTCCCTAGACTCTCCCATGCTTTTTGGTGTTTTATGAAACCATTGTCCTTAGGGCTGTATAGTATTTTATTGTGTGAATGTACCATAATTTCACAATTCATTCATTTGTTGATGGACATTTGGGTTGTTTCCATTTTCGGACTATTGTGAATAATTCTACTATGAACATAGGTGTACAAATCCCCATTTCTAGCTCAGTTCTATTTTCCTTAAGGTGTATTCCTAGAAGTGGAATAGTTGGATCATACAAGATTTCTATACTCAGATATCTATCTATCTATATGTATCTCTATCTCTATCTCTATCTATCTCTATCGCTATCTCTATCTATATTTATAGCTTTTTGAGGAAACACCAAACCGCCTTACGGACTGGTTATGTGATTTTACAGTACTGCCAGCATGCACATGCATGAGAGTTCCAATTTCTCCATATCCTTTCTAACATTTACTTCTTGCTATCATGTTAAACTTTAACACTGTTACTAAAGTGAAAGGGTATCTCACCGCAGTTTTTACTTGCATTTCTCTTTTTGCTATGATTTTGAGCCTATCTTCATAAGTCTGTTGGCCATCCAAATGTTTTCCTTGGTTAAAAATCTTTCCATGTCTTTTGTCAGTTTTGATTGAGTCTTTTCCTACAGAGGCACTCTAGCATTCTATAAAATTTTGTTATAAGACCCACTTCTTAGATGTCATTGCCAAATTTTTTTTCCACTATGTAGGTTTTCTTTTCACCCCATTGAAAAAGGGGTGTTTTTTGAGAGGTAGTTTATTTACAAAATTCTAGTACATTGTTTTCAAGAACAAATTCTTTCACTTTCCCTCAGCCCCCTCCCCATCAAATTGTACAACCTGACAATTAATTCCCCCTCCCCCTGCACATCCTCATCCCTCTGCTTCCAACAACTCCTACCCCTCTTGGATCCTTACACTCATTCTACAATAATGGTTTTATACAATAATTATCCTTGTGGGACTGAGTTAGTTCACTCAGCATAATGCTCTCCAGTCCCTCTCAAATTAGATAATTACAAGATCATTGCTCCTTTGCTGCACAGTCATCCATAGTGTGAATGTGCCATAATCTCTCAATCCATTAGTTTGTGTTTGGGCTATTTCCATGTTCTTGCAATGGTGAGTAATGCTGCTGTGAATACTGGTGTACAAATCTCTGTCTGTGCCTCAGTTCTCATATTCTCAGGGTATATTCCAAGGTGTAATAACTGGGTCATATGGAATTTCTATGTTCAGCTTTTTGAGGAAGCACCAAACTGCCTTCCAGAATAGTTGTACCAGATTGTAATTCCACCAACAATGTATAAGAGCTCCATCTCACCACATCTTCTCCAACATTTATGACTTGCTTCCCTGTTAAACTTTGCTACTGTTACTGGAGCGAAATGGTACCTCATTGTGGTTTTGATTTGCATTCCTCTTATAGCCAGTGATTTGGAGCATTTCTTCAAGTGTCTCTTGGCCATTTGAATATCTTCCTCTGTAAAAATTCTTTCCATGTCTTTTGTTCATTTTGTAATTGAGTTTTCAATCTTTTTCTTGTGGAGGCCAATGAGTATTCTGTAAACTTTTGTTATAAGACTCTTGTCTGAGATGGTATTTACAAATGTTTGTTCCCAGTCTGCAGGGAACAGACTTTCTTTTCATCCTGTTGGTAAAAGTTCTGATGCACACATGGATTTAATCTTTATAAGGTCCCTTGGGACTTAATTTTAAGAAGGTCCCGTTTGCCAATTTTGTCCTCTCCTGGTGATGCATTTCTGGCTATATTTACAAACCTCTTTATACCATAGGTGAAGCCATCTACGTTTGATCTCATTTTTGTCTCTAATGATCTTTTTGGTTTGGGGTTTTACCCTTGGTCTCGGATCCACCTTGAGATGACTTTTGTGTATGGTGTGAAATGTGGATCCTGCTTTAGCTTTCTGCAGCTATAAGTCCAGGTTTTCCAGAGCTATTTATTGATGAGGTTGTTGTTTCCCCATTTGATAGGCTTTCTTACCTTGTCAAATTTCCACCGGCCATAGGTAGATAGCTTCATTTCTGGGTTCTCGATTCTGTTTCTTCGGTCTATGTGTTTGTCATTGTACCAGTATAATGCTGTTTTGATTATTACAGCTAGATCAGGGAGTGTTATGTCTCCCATGTCATTTTTTCTTCAGAAAAAAAAGTTTATCTTTGTTTAGGCAAGGATTCTGAGGCTCCGTCTAACATACTTTGGACATGTTGTGAGGAGAGACCGGTCCTTAGAGAGGGACATCATGCTTGGGAGGGTGGAGGGACAGCGCAAGAGAGGAAGGCTCTCTATGAGGTGGATTGATTCAGTGACTGGGGTAATCAGGATGGGAGTGTTAGAGACAGTGCGATTGGCACAGAACAGAGCGGAGTTTAGGGCTGTTGTACATAGGGTCGCTATGAGTCGCAAGCGACTTGACGGAACATAACAGCAACATCTTTGTTTATTTGGGGTCTATTTCCTTTCCAAGTAAACTTGAAAACTGCCTTTTCTATCTATTTGAAAAATGTGTTTTGTCTCTGTATTGAGATTGTGTTTAAAATGTAGATTGCTTTTGGTAAGATTGTAATTTTCACTATGTTGAATCTTTCTATCTATGAACACTGAATTGTTCTCCATTTAGTTATATTTCTTATTGTTTCATGAAGTAGTATTTTGTAATTTTCCTTATGATTGTTATGTGCTTTACAACTCATAGAGACCCTATGAACAATAATAGTATGTACCTTGACCTATCCTGAACCAACCTCTTTGACCCTGACATACCTGCCCTCACTGCCAGAGTCACTGTGACAATCCATCTTATCCAGGGTCTTCCCATCCTGAACTGAACCTCTATCTTTCCAAGCATGATGTTCTTCCCCAAGGACTGGTTCTTCCTGACAACATACCTAAAGTATATGAGACAGAGCTTCAAAATCTTTACCTCCAAGGAGCAATTTATTTTCCCCTTCCCCAGGACAGACCTGTTTATTCTCTTTGCAGCCCATAGTATGTTCAAGACTGTCCTCCAGCACCACAACTTAAAGGTGTCAATATTTGTTCTGTCATCTTTAGCCATTGAGCAGGTCTCCGAAGCATAGAAAGTACTTGAGAAGTCTATGGCCTGGATAGGGAGGCATCTTAGTCTCTAGGATGAAATTGTTGCTCTTTAGCAGTCTGTAGAGTTCCCTGATAGCAGACTTTCCTAAAGCAACTCATCTTTTGATACCATGACTGCTGGTGCCAAGAGTGTTGATTGTTAAAACAAGCAAGATCTCTATTATAAATCTAGTTAGATTTATTCCTATATATCTCAATTTGTGGTTGGCTCTTATTGTTGTTGATTGCCATCGAGTCGAGCATGACTTATAGTGACTCTATGAACAAAAGACCTAATGCCTCTCAATAACTATCATCATTTCTCCAAGTCCATAGAGTTTCCACAGGCATGTAGTTTAGAAAGTGGATGCCACTCCTGCTTCCAAACCTGTTTTACAACTGGGAGCTCCACCAGACTCTGTCTACATTGGGACACCTATAGAGTTTGACACCCCAGTGGCACAAGGTTCAGAATCACAGCTAACCCAGATTACCTCAGTACAGCAAATTGACAAAGAGTGATGTACAAAGTAGAAGAATGTCCCTCCAAAATATAACAACAATAGTCTCATTTAGCAGTGGTTAAGTGCCATCAAGTCAAATATGACTCAAAGTGACTCTATGAACAAAAAACCTGAACTCTATTCGATAAATAACATCATTCCTCTATGCTCATAGAGTTTCCAGAGGCATCTGGTTTAGGAAGTGGTTGCCACTCCTGCTTCCACAGCTGAATCAATCTGGAAGCTCCTCCGAACACTGTCCATGATGGGTAACCATTATGGTATTTGACACAACTATGGCAGTGTTCAGCATCACAGCAACTCCAGGTTACTTCAATACAGCAAACAAAAAAAATTACTGCTATACCACTT